CACACACACACACTAACTCCCGCCTCAGGCGATGCGTTTCGGTTTTAGCCCAAGGCCAGATTTCAATTAAAATTTATTGTTTGTGCCAAAGCGAAAGCGAAATAAATTGAAATTTAATAATAAATTGAAAAGAGAGATTTATTTTTAAATGGCGCCCAACGAAATAGTTTTTGTGGCCACCACCCTTCTCAAAAACAGTTGGTTTTCAACAGTTACTAAATACTCGCCACTCAATGGACCCCTTGCGGTATATATATATTCGTGGGAAAAATCGGTTTACAGCCCAACACTTCATCTGGGAACTCTTCTCAATAACCTGAAAAGGGTTAAGGGGCATCCATCCACGGCCACTGAACATTAACAAAAAAGGGGCAAGAGGAAATAGGAAAAACGAAACAACTTGTTCCACACATGAGCTGCCCTGAAAGCAGCCGGGAAATATAAATAACCAAAGTGAAACTTTCAAAGGGAATCCCCCCCCCTCACAATCGCCGGCTTTTCACCTGCCCAACTGCAATGCTACCCCCTCCCCGCCTGTCATTCTGATTTCAATGAGTTTCCATCCGAAAATGGCATCGCTTCGGTTTCACTTTACACGTTTGTGTTAAAAGCCCTAATTACACTCTCAGCAGCCATCCACCTACCAGCTACCAACCAACCACCCACCGCCCACACATCCTGGCCCACATGTGTCTAGTTGGCAAATTTGACACTTTTCTCATAATTCTGTATGGCTGGCAAACAACTATGATGCAGATAAAGAAAAAAGGGAGAGTCCCATATCACTAAGGGCCGATTTCTCAATGTCATGTTAACTTTTGTCTTTGGGTTAAGTTGCTGTTTGGGAAAATATGTTGGTTTTCAATATCACGTTAAGTTTTATGTAAAAACTTATAATTAGAGCCAATGTTCTAGTTAAGTTTGTCGTTTTATAGAACTAAACTGGCACCACAAAGTAACCTACTGTTATATTTTAGTCTTGTCAGACAGAATTTTCCACTGTATCACGTGATAACAGACTCCGAAAAGCTTTGTCGTTCGTAAATTTATCATCATATTGAGAAACAATTTAACTTTATGCTAATTTTCTCTAGCAGATAACCAACTAAAACTTTAACTATAACTTTAACTAGAATTTTAACTAGAACTTTAACTAGAACTTTAACTAGAACTTTAAATACAACTTTAACTAGAACTTTATCTAGAACTTTAACTAGAACTTAAACTAAAAAATTGTTATAAAGCCTTAACTAGAACTTTTACTAAAACTAGAACTTTTACTAGAACTTTAGGTAGAATTTATCTTGTTAGTTTAACTACAACTTTAACTAGAACTTTAATAAAACTTTAACTATCACTTTAACTTGACATGAAGAATTTTTTAAAGCAAGTTTTGATCTTAACTTTTCATGTTCTCTCATATTTTTCCCGGTGTACTTCAGCCGAGTGTGTCCTGTCCTCCTGTGGTTTTTGTTGCTATTGTGGTCGGGGCACAGCGGCTGCAGCCATGGGTGTGTGTTGCCTGTTTGTGTTGGCCAGAGTTTTGCAATTAGCCCAGAGCCTGACAATTGATGGCAGGCGGAGGATGAGCTATCCGGTGCTCCCTGGAAACCCATACAAGCCCTGTCCCCAATTAGTTGTCGACAAGCCATTTCTCCCCGCACTTACATATTGTTTGATTTGACTTTTATGGTTTATAATTGGTTTTTAATGTGGCTGGCAATTAGCAGGCAGCAGCGGCAACTGGAACATCTTAAAGATTTAATTCCCCCATAGAGCAATTTAATGTCCTTCGGTGGCCGCCATAAAGTTGTCTCCATAAAATCGCTAGATTTATGCGCCACCATTGAGAAATGACACGAAGAACATATTAAATGTAATAAATTCACTTAGCGGCAGCATGGAAACACATATATACTCTCAGAAAAACTCACTGACACGTAAGCGACGCCTGATATAAATGCAATTTCTCTTCATGACAATATTTTCCCGGCGAGCAAGCTTCAAATAAAGAAGTCAAGAGCTGCGGCAAGGGGGTTTTGACTGGGAAAATGGGGAGGGGGGTTGGGAAAAGTGGGGTACGTCGGTTGTGCAGCCCTTAATGGAATTGTAGCCTCCACTTCGCAATTATCGGTGCATGAAAGGGAAAGTGCAGCGGGGCGATAATAAAGAACAACAGTAACATCAGCAGGAAAGTCATATGCCAGCACTTTCCCACAGAATCGCTGGGTTGAAGTGGGCGGTACGGAACAAAGGAAGCACCAAGTCCTATATCGATTCCATTAATTTTCCTTTTCCAGGTGAAACTGCCCGAAACTGAGAGATTGACTGGCTGACTGACTGATTGCTGTATGTTCGTACAGGCAGGCTGTTGTAGGGGACTATGTTTCAAGAGGTCACCTACTTTCAGGTGTCAAAGTGCCTGAAGGGGTTCAAAAAAGCATGGCAGTAGAAGCGAAAAAGGGGAAATACACTCTATGAAATCGCACTAAATAAAAAAGAACTTACAAAAGTTTTTAGGTTAAAATGTTTTAAAGCTATTTGGAGGTACCAAACACGATATGTGCTGTTAATATCCATTTATGCCCTACTTTTTGACGAAATTTTTAGTAAAATATCAAAAAATATTTTTCAGGTTCTGAATTCGTATTGTCCATGCATGCACTACTTGTTAGGAATCACTTTTAATAAAATATTTAAGAACCTAATATGTAATTTCTTTCATTTCCATTCACCATTCTATCATATCGCCCGCCTTTTCTCCTTTATAAATGGCGTGTTTATAGCTATTTTAGATCTTTGTTAGATAAAAGCGCAGACCCTTATTCTAAGCGAAAGAACAATCCCACCTTTACCCACTCGAAGTTGCCACCCTTAAACACACATGTGTTTAAGTTAGAGCAAACAAGAATAGAGACCAGTCACGGTATTAATAATCAATTCCAACCTCGATCAATCAGCCAACACTCATTGACAGCTCCAGGAATTTCAGCTTGAACCTGGTATCCGTAAACCCCTTCCCCGTATACTCCATTTGTTCCTTTCTAAACCTCATTAGCCACCGCATTTTTGTGAGTCAGCAGCGGGTCGTTCGCACGTGTCTCGCGCAGTTGTCGCCTGGTTTGCCATCCATGGCATGCCGAACCACCATAGAGGGGCGAATTCCGGGACAGGGGGCAGCCAGGGGTTAACCAGGCAAGGCTAAGGAGTGTTTTTATTATTGGCCTACTTTACCTGGCCACCCGCCGCGAAAATGTCCATAATTGACAGTTCGACAGAAGTACGCTGGAAATTACGAGGGGAAATAGGCGAATGCGCAATCACAGTGAATTTATTTGATTGCTCAATAGGCAAATTGAATGGTATTTATATAGATTTTCCGAGCCATATTACCTAGATTTCTTAAGCGGAAAATTTTCTTAATTCTTTGGGAACTAATGGCTGAGATTATTTTCTAGGCCTGAATGCTCACCAACATTTTTGGTATTCTTTAACTTTTAAGAAACATATTGAATCATAAATTTTCAATAATATTTTAAGCAAGTAAGTACCATTTGATTATTACCCACACCTTTAAAGGCCATTAATTTGAAAAATATTTACTGCCCATTTAAGCCACCAATCTTGGCTAGAATTTCCAGTTTGAGAGCTATAATAGAGAGTCATAAAAAAGATTAAGTTTAACAGCCAATTACTCAAACCTTAAATCAGTCATTCTAACATGGACTTTCAACGGGGCTTTTTCCCATCCTGCGGGCCCCAGGGATTGTGCAACTCTTTATCGATTCGACCAAAACCATTTAGATGTGTCCGCTCATCAAGGCCTGGCGGCCATTAAATATAAATTCGACAGGCACTCGGCCATCTGCAGTTGACCCAAAAAGCCACTCGACTGGGGACCTGTGCCAGGAGGGCCCAAAAACTAAAACTCACAAATCATTGAGGGGATCGAAAACGGGGAAGTGCATTCGGTTTTGGTATCGGCGATGAGTGATGGGGAAATTGCATCTGCATTCAGTTGGCCGAAAGTCTGGCTCATTAATAATGCAGCCGGCATATGGGGCTTCATTTTCCCGAGTCGAGACCTTCCGGCTGGCCACACCGAACTTCCACTTCCACTTCCACTTCCCGAACTTCCACTTCCGCCGCTCGTTAGGCGATGGCTCGTGAAATGAGCTCCGACGTTCATTGCACATTATGGCCCACGTCCTGTATGGCTTCTGTTGCTCTTTTCCACTCCTGTTTTTCATTTTTTTTTTCATACCAGTCCTTGCATAATTACAGGCGCCGGCTGCAGCCCGAGTTAATAAACAATTTGCACTCCGTGGGGCGAAGGCGCCTACTTGGCAGCGTATTATTCATTAATTACTTTTTAATTGCACTGGCAATAGCTCAACTTCGAGCCCAATTTTGTTTCGCTTTTTTCGCTCTGTCCCCGCTGCGTATACTTAATATTTCGCTGGGAATACATATATATTTCGGTTGTTTTTTCTAAGGTTTCCCCTTGCGTCATAGGCGTATCCACTTTGCATGTCCCTCGGCTCGGTGGGGTGTTTTTTTTGTATTTTTCGGTGGGTTTGGGCCAACTAAATTAAATTACTTGCCTTTTAGAGCGATTGTCCTGATGAGTCACGGCTAAAAGTGTGCAAATTGAGCCTCCTCTGCTGCTGCCTTTTTTTTTTTGGGTATGACGAGGGTTCTGCAGATTGTGGCGTTGCTACCTGAATTTTTCATGATGTTTAAAGAGAGGATGAATACGTAGCTTTAAAGTTAAAAAGTGAAAGAGAAAAGTTCTTCTTTAGTCTTTTGCTGGAGGAACTTTCTTTTAAAGTAGCCAATTAAAACTTTGCTTTAATGATTATACCATCTTCTTATATTCCTAATAACTTTTCTATACAAACTAAAGTCAAAGAGTGGAATTATTTTCTAGTTTTAGTGGTTGATTCAAACTCTCTCAGAGCATCCTTTCCAATTTCCCTTATATCATAAAATCCCCAACTATCCAATTATTTATACTTAGGGATATTTATTTAAACGGCTCACAAATGCCCTGATTACGTGCTAGAAATACTTAAACGAAAGATCACAAGAACTGTTGCCCAGGAGTGCAACATGGGGCTGAAAAGCTGCCCACATAAATCTCAACCGATGGAGGACCCTCTTGGGAGTGGGGGGCCAACCATCTCCCCCTCCTTCGAGAACTGTGTAAATTCCATCACGTCAGTGAGAACCTGTCAATGTTGTTGCTTAGCGCATTGTTGTCCTCGTTCTCGCCCTGGTCGTACTGCTCCTTCTGGCCCAAAAGCCACCGACTGACAGATGTCTGCCTGGTGGCATTAGGTGGCAATTTGTAGGCAATGGGCAGCCGAGGAGCCAGCGAGACAATTGCCCTCGGCCGGCTGCTCCGCCCAAATGGCTTGGCATCGTTCGTATCCAGAAAGAATTTGCCACGAATCCTGTAAGCGGGCTCATCAGCTGGATTTGCAGAGATTGAGCGATTTCCCAACTCACCTGGGATCCGCCCCCATGCCCATGAAGGCGGGGCCGCCTCCTGGCTCCCGGCAGATGCCGAACATTTCGGAGGGCTCGCAACGCTGGGCGGGAAATCCACGGGGCTGGCCCACACTCTCCACGAAGTACTCCCAAGCTCGCTGGTGACTGCAACCGACTGTGAGAAAAAATAAAAAAAACATATAAATTTAAATATTTCAAAGTTCAAAAATATATTTAAAACCGTTTGAGTAACCCATTAAGTGTGTAAAAACAATTTGAGTTTAACATTATAAGCCGGCACTTCAAAAAATACCAAAATATATTATGATAAACCTATATTTTTACCATGGGTTGATTAATTCTATAAATATCATATATATTATTACGCATTTTTTATGTATATTTTTTTAAACTACACTAAAGTTTCTCGGCAGAAAAGATAACAGGTAAAATTGAGAAATCTTGTTAGTTAATTTTTAAGAATAATTTTTTCTTGAATATTGTTATCTTAATTATGAACCGTTTTAAGGTAAAAGCATTTTTAAAACTAAAACTAAATTCTTTGTACAAGAAAACGTACTCGTACTTGAGTTGTATTCATTACTATCCTGAAAATCTTGAATATTTCAAAAATGAGTACATGTTGTTCTTGATATGATAGCTCAAACTGTAGAGAACTAGTTGCTTCTCCTAGCCAGATTTCGATCTAAAATTAATCTTCACTTTATAGCGGATTATAGACATTTTAAAACGTATTTTAAAATTAAGAACTTAATCAACTGAATTTAGTATTATACGAGTATAACTTAACGAGCTGTTGAAGCTCACACTTGATTTAAGTAGGGCTTACCAATTATTCCCAGCCAGTTATTGGCAATGTTCTGCCTGGCACAACCGGGCTGCAGGGGTCGTCCCCCATTCGGGTAGAAGTCCGCATGACCCATAGCCGCCGGGTTGCCCAGCAGTCCTCCGTCCGTGTGGATGACATCCACGAACCTGGCATCGCTGGGACTGAGGCGGCGGTTGGAGCTGTTGCCCTCGAAGAGGGGCAGGGCAGGATCAAGGGCCGTTATCCGGGGCAGCTTGATGCCCCACTCCTGCAGCTGCTTGCCGGCGAAACCGGCCACCTCGGCGCCCAGGCTGAAGCCAATCAAGTGGATGTACTTCGCCGGGTAGCCCTTGTCCACCAGGAATCGCAGGAACCTGGCCAAGTAGCGGCCCGTCACCGGCAGATTCTCCACGGCATTCGAGTACCAGGGCACCGCCGTCATCGCACTCCAGTCGATGAGGATGACATTGTAGTTGCCCCTCCTCAGGAATGCTGCAGGGGGAAATGGTCAGGAAGTGTTTTTGGAGCCGGGGCCGGAAGTCCCCACTCACCATCCTTGAGCTCCTGGCTGCTCTGCCGTTCGCCGGTGGCCGATTCCGAGAAGCCGTGCAGATAGATGGCCAGCGGGTAATTGAAATTGAAATTGCTCTGCGCCAGCCGGGCATCGTCGCTCAGGTGGAGCAGTTGGGCGGAATTGCGGTTCCGGCTGGAATGGAGAATGGGGACCCAATTTTGATGGCCCCTCAATATGCATGAGCCTCGGAGGTTTGTAAGAAGGGTAGCCCTCTGCTTACCTGGTGTACAGCATGAACTTTATGTCCTCGCGTTCCTTAATCGCACAGCAAGTGGAACAGGATCCGCGTGGGGCGGCACTGTAGAAGATGGGCGAGCCAGCTGGGAAATATAAGTGTGTATTTCGAAATAAGAATTAAGATGATGACGAAATATAAAATGCATAGAACAATTATTTTCTCAGAAAAATCTCAATAAACCCAATAAAGCAAAAAAACTCTTCCTACGCAATTATTGATAAAATTAATCAATACGAATAGTTAAGTATCGTAAGGGTTACTATACATAAACTATTACTGATGGTTAATTTACTATTGCAATATCAAGATACACTTACAAAGAGAATTCTGACGTTCTTATCTGAGTTAAAAATGTTCTTAAAAACAGAATAGATGTGCACACCACGTAAACGTTACTATGCTAACAGTAATTTAACTATTAAATAGTAAACAAAGCAAAAACAAAAACATATACAACCGTATTAAATAGTAAAGTACTTCTTTTAAAGTTACATAACTGCATTGGACAATTTGTTTCTCGTTAGTAAAACTACTATTAAATAGTAATTTAGGAGTAAATAATTAAGGAGTATGTTGTTTTTATGTTGTAATTAATATATAAATAAAACAAAATAAATATCATTTAAATAAATGTTGCATACAAAACGACTTACATCAAAAAACTTCTTACAACAGCCGAAAAAACTTTTTGCGGAAATCGAATTTGTCAAGTGCCAAACTCGAGCGAATCAATTTAGAGCTCGGAATTCAAAACTAATTGATTCATTAGCTTCATTAACTGGCTGGCGTCGAAAAGCCAGGTAGCCATACCCATAACATAACAATAACAATAACAAGCGGTAATAACAACGACCAAGTCCAAACAAAACCAGTGGCTAAGAAAACGAAACTGGCCAAACGAAGACCAACTTGGCCGTGAACTTGAGGGGAGTTAAGCGAAATCAAGTGGAATGGTATGTGGCTTTGGCCAACAAATGTACAAGTGGCAGTAGCAGTGGCAGAAGCACAAAGACAGCACGTGACGCATACGCCGCGTGTTACGCCGCCGAGGCGAATAAAAACCCGTTTTCATTTCCATCAGGTTTTCGAAGTTCACACGGCCATGCATTTAATCAGATCGATTGGTGGTGGGTGGGTGGTTGAAGGGGCAGGGGTGGCAAAAGGGGCAGCACCACCGGCAGTGGGTCAACCACATTGGGATGTCAATGGCGCTTATCCGCCTTCGAGTGGCTTTTTCGCTTTTTCGCTCTTTTTGTTTTGCTACACATTTTTATCGTCAGCTGCGAATGCATACGGATAACACTCTTGATTAGATGCCAAGTAACAATGACGTTGACCTTAGCCAATGCCGGACTCATTTGCAATTCTGTCCACTTATCACCTTCCGCTTTTGCTAGCAAAAAATACTATATCAACTTTGGAATGGTCTTCTAAAAGTATTTTATAAATTTATTGGATCAGAATTATCAGCTTTCTTTGTAAGAATTAAAAATGACAGTTTTTAATAAATCAAAAAATCGAATTTTTAAGGAAAATTAAATTGAAACACATGAATATAAAGTCTAAAAATAATTTTTTTAGTTTTTTCAAGTTGAAATAATAATTATAATTAAATAGGAAAGTAAAAATAAAATTAATGAACGAACGCACTTGGTTAAAATCGCATAATATCTATATAAAGTTTACAATAAATATAAATTTTCAATAAAACCTGGCAATTAAATGTTTAACCACAATTTAGAGTATCTCTTCATCGTTTTCCGCGATCCTTTTTATGACTTAACCATACTCCAAATTTTATGTATGTAGCTTAAATATCTTTTATTTATGTAAATGTAATGACTGCGTTAATTTTTTGCTGCAGAGCGGAAGAGTTTGTCGCGTTTTTTAGTGAGGAATGTTCCGCGGTTTCTTTTGGTATTGCCATTTAATATTATTTTACGTATTCCTTGTTTTGCTTAACACGGCTTTGTTTCCACGTTGTTTTGCGACGTCATGCCGTGCATTTAATTTGTATTTCTTTTTCTTAATTATCGCGCTGCTAGCTTCAATTTAAATGTATGTTCGGCTGGCAGGTAATTAGTGGCTTTAAGCCACAGTGATTGTTATGCTTGCACTCAGAACTTTACGGGTACCGGCTTTATTCTCCTAGCCAAGTGATTCCCAACTGACATTGAAAATGGTGTGGTTTACGCCATTAAAAATGTCATAAAAAGCGGGGCATAATGATCTATTAAAGTGGATGATAAAGAAGGAGGATAAAGAGGGGGCTTTACAAGTGATATGCGATACATTGATGATTTGTTTGGCCAGTAAATATATCTTTTGTTCCCACCCTCTTTTTTTTGAGCAGCCCTCCTTCACGGCTCACTGGCCATCTCAGCTGACCTACCCCAAGACAAATATTGGCGATGGTCAACAATTGAATCTTTTGAGTGCGCGTATCCACAAAGACGTCAGCTTGTTTGGTTTGCCCGCCACTCCGCCTTGAACTTATGTGTGTAGTAACGCCCCAACCGCCCACTGGGGACACGATTTTCCAGCTGACATTGAGGCAGAACCAATGCTAACAGATGCCACTTTCGGTTTTGGCCTCAGTTTCCAATCGCAATCGCGATGTCTCAACTCACCCAGCAGAAATGCAAATACATTGCATAATGTCGAGGTGGCCGGCAACACCATGGCAAATATAATAAATTAGTTGAAATATTGGCTTAAGTTTGCGTACGATGAACCCCCCGATTTTGGGCGTGCTATTCCAATTCACTTTCGTACGCGAAAATCAGCATTCAAATCGGTTTCCGCATTTGTTTTTATCTTTTTAGTTTAGTTCTATTTAACTCAAAACAAATCACGATTACAATCGATAAAGAAAACGCTCCGTTCTCGACGAGCTGCGAATACTGACTGAACGATCGGAACTCCCGATCCATCGAGCTAGACTCTCTGCCGCGATCGACTTCGCTGCTTTCGAGCTCTGCCAATCTGATAAACAGAATATGCGAAGCCCTAAAACGAAAGACTGAGGCAACAAACTTCAGAGCCTTTGTAAGCTATAATGCGTTCCGTATTTAAATGAGTTAATCAGGCATGCGAAAGCCGCTCGTAAAATAGTTCTCGGTTTCCTGATTGTCGCACTTCCAACGGCAACCCACCACCCACTCCATGCCGGGCATTCGAAATGAGCTCCCGCCCACCCAAGTGATCTTTGCCGGGAGATAAGGCAATCCTAAAGTTCAGCCGGATCCATCTGACAGGCGGCTCACCTTGACCAGATGCGACTTTCCGTTTCAATTCACTTATCGCCCCTCGATCGGATCGAACATCCAATATCCGACAGCCTTTGAGGGGCGGACACATCTTGAACAATAACAAATCGGTTTTCAGATCGTTAGTATTAGCAATCAAGACGATGCCGTTAAGTGTTTAGTAAGTAAACTACTTTTGTATTTATGTTTTCTTGATGATTAAATGTCTGAAAACTAAGCGAATTTCAAATGAACGACCCACCTATGCTTTAGAAGTTACTCTAGTTAAGGTCACAGTCCCTTCATTTTTAAGATTTGATTTAATTTTAACTGACCAATCCTCTGTCTTATTTGCGGATATCTTCGGTTTTTGCAGGCCAGTTAGCATGGCGTTGATATGCACATTAATCACTCGAAATATATGCAAAGAAAAACAGGTAAAATAAAAAAACTCAGGGCATTCAAAGTTCGATCCAAACATATCTCGAATTTTTTTAACACGGGCGTACGATTTCGCGGCTTTTTTCGCTGCTGTCCAAGCTGTCAATAACTACATCAAATTCAGTGGCAGCTAACAGGGGTTATTGACAAAATATTTTAATGATTGACAATTCTAAAAAACCTTTTGATGGTAATTTTTTTAAATAATATTACAGTTATTTTAAAAATATTTTATTAAGATAGTATAAATTGGTTTTAAAGTATTTGGATTTAATTTCCAAGTGCTCATAATTTTCTTATGTTCCTGACTTATTTTTAGCTTAAAATGCAGCGTAGAAAACTGCCCTTAAAGTACCTAAAGTTTAAATATTACCACCAAGTCAAAAAGAAACCCCCCCCCCTTTTTTCCTCAGCATTTACTAGGTAGCCATGGTCTCCAAATCGATGACCAGTCAACCAGAGATCCCTCAGCTGTTAGTATAGACAGTAAGAGATAATTGCAAAAAGATTCTTTGGACATTTGTGGTTGCCAATCGAACACTTGATTGATTTCCAACCGCTTGCATAAGCCACAAAACACCAATTAAACGTATACCTTGCATACACCCAATTAAACCGCTGAAACCTTCGTTGGCGAACAATTTGCACGATTTTCAATGTGACATTGGGGAACCATCAAGTGCAAGGGCTTCTTTTCAAAACCACACAGTCAAGGAAATCCATGGGTTCTAGGTTCTTAATCAAGAGCACACTCATTGGGGATAGTCACAAAGTAAAGTTGTGCGATAATGGAAAATGACTTTACAACTTCCTCAAGCCTCGCCATGTTTATGACTCGCAAATAATAAATACAATTGGTTTTGCAACAAAGGGAGCTTTACCCAAAAATAGCAATATGAACTATTAATAGCTTAATAGGATCGTAAACCAGTTCATTCAATCAGCGCTTAAAAAGCTGCTGACTCACAAAATTAATTACGCGAGGGGATGGTCAACAATGGGTAGTTCTTATAAATGAAATGATTCGAAATCAATAACAAGTATCATCTGTTTAATGATCTGCCTGCCCGACTGAGGTCGAACACCCAAACTGTCCTCAGAAGGCGTCTATGCAGATAATTAAATTGTGAGATACAAATATACCCAGAAACGAAGGAAAACACAGCTAAGCTCATCATAAATTTGAATAATCACTGGATTACACAAAATACAAAAATCAGACCATTAGGCAATGCGTAGATTACAATCGATGGCTAATTTAGCATTTTACAAATATCATCTTTATGGCTCAAAATGTCGGCTGCTAAAAGATACTTAGTCGAAACTTTATGGACATGTCAAACGGCTTCTGGAAAAGACCTTGAATAAATTATGCCTCCATAATTTACATCGTCACATCAAGATAAATAAATATAATTGTAAAACAGGAAGGCTAAACTAAAGTTGTAATGTTAAGCCGCGAGAAGATAAAAAAATCTTATGAAAGTTAAAAAAATTCCATCTTTAATATAATATGAGTTATTTTCATAGCACTGGAGGTTCTTGCGATAATAATGATTACCGCACTGTCACTTTTTTCTTAAAAACAAAAATCATTTATGGCATCTTGGCGTAAATATTTCGACGGACTTCAGAGAATTAAGAACTTGACCATATCTTTTGCATTCAAATTTTGTATCACCACTTCGTATGTGTAGGTACTTGAACAATTTTATTGGACAATTTCTTATGGTGCTCTTAAATGTCATTACCTAAGCTATATTTTGTTATAAGCAGTCTTAATAATTTCTATACAGCTAAGCCTTAATAATCCGACATTCAGGGCTTAAACGAGTGTATCTTAATCACCATAAGCTTTTAGACAGTTAAAACAAATCAAGTGAATGTTCTTTAATCACTTGCAGCACCATTAAGTTTTAATAATCCGTTATCATCACTTACCAGTTTAAATCAGCAGCCGATGATTAGGCAAAATGATTATAGTTGAAGGTTTTCACCACCCTTCCTTTACTACCAACACCAGTAATAACTCATTTTCCTTTTATCAGCTTTAAGGGAAAATGAGAAAATGTGTGATAATGAGCTTATCATCTTAGGAACTGTGGGGTCTTTAAAATTCCTTCTCGTCTCATATTTAATAGCCTAAGCTCGGATTTTGCTTTGTTTTACACAGCTTTTTACTGAATGCCATGCATACTTTATGGCTGAGGAGCTAAACAAAAATATTTAAAATATTCCTGGACTACTTGGAGGCTAAAAAGACTTAATATCTAACGTTTTTTTTCAGGACAAGCTGCTGAGCAAACTGGAGGAGGAGAGCGAGCCGGACCCGCCCACCTCGCAGGAGGACGAGTGTGTGATCTGCATCAATGCCCGGGCCACCATGCAGACGTCTCCATGTGGCCACCGCGTCGTCTGCCGCCGCTGCTTCGTGAAGACGATCCAGAGTGCGGTGGCCCAGCGGCTGCTCCCGCTGCGCTGCGTCATTTGCCGGGCGCGGGTGAACCGGCTGACCTCGTCCTCGGGCACCTGGCGCATCCAGGAGTCGGCCAGCAGCTACTCGATGGGCGCCAAGAGTTGGGCCTCCGCCGGAGTGGCCGCCGGCGGGGTGGTTCCCTCGGCCAGCTCCTACTCGATGAACGATGCGCACAGTGGACACCACTCGTTTCACCAGCCCACGTTGCACAAGTCGGCGGTGGGGCGGCACCATCCGCACCATTACACGCCCCGGGGATCAGGCCATGGTCATGCTCGGGTCTCCCAGTCGGATAGCCTGTACTCGATGAGCTCGACGGGATCGGCGGCTTCGTCGGCCTCCGGCTACTCGCACTATTCCAAGACGTCTTCCATATCGAGCAACGGTCCCTGCTCACCGGCCCTGCCGGCCGTGGCTTCCAGCTCCAATCACCTGGCACCGCCATCGCCCACCACCCACCATCATGCGCACGGCCTGGCCTCACCCACTCCCTCGGGCTCCTCCGGCAGCTCCCTGTCGCCGCGGGAGAACGGATCGGCGCACTCGCATCATGGTGGTGGCTGCCCAATTGGTTGCTCCGGTGCCGTGCCAAGGAAACCGCTGCACACGCTCACCAACAGCTGTTCCACGCCCGTTTCCGGTTCCTCCTCCAGCGGAAGTGGCGGAGGACTGGGCGGAAACGGAAGCGGTGCCAGCGGAATGATGACGCCCACGCACACGTATCCGGGTCGAAGGCACGTGAAGAACCGGCTGATGGACATCCAGAACCGCCTTCCGCCCATCAAGGAGTTCCGTAGTCCGGCCAAGGTGCCGCATCCTTCGCCCGTGCACGTCAGCAATCCCAGATTTCGGTAAGGAAAAAAATTAGAAGCACAGAGAAACAAAGTTATAAGATTTGATGTTCTTTTTGATGCAATTCTATATCAAACATTATCTCAAAACATCTATAATAATATATCTAAATATGAAAGATTTTAAATATTGCTGTCTCGTTCTTACTCAGAGTAATTTTAGGCGCTCTTTTCTCCCTTTTCAACAGGAGAGAATATCTAAAGAGGCGAAAATAAGTATAAGTATTCCTATATCTCTCTTACCCAGGGGAATCTTAGATTCTTCTATCTATTTTTTCGTTTGAGAGAATTTTTAAAGAGAAAGAAAGATCCTAGAAATACTACTGAGTTTTTCATTTGAGAGTATTTTTCAAGAAAGAGAGATCCAAAAAATAGAATTCAATTATGTAAAATGTACTTTGTTCAATGGTAAAAATGATACTTAATACATTTATTATTCAAAATCAAATTTATCTTTATGTAATCCTTTTTCTGTGTGGGTATGGTAATATAGGAATGGTATATATATTTAAAAATGTTTTTTTTTCAGTTACTCCACTTATACCAAGTCCAGTGCCCATGAACTGGCTCCACTGCTGCGGGAGCCCGGTTCCTCTCCTCCGCCACGTCGTCCCAGTCCGATGAACATCCAGCTGAGCTGCTCCGCACTGGCCCCGCCCCCTTTGAAGGCGGGCGGGGCAAAGATCTGCCCGCTGACCTCGAAGAACTCGCTGCCCAAAAACGCTTACGTGATGCCCAAGGACAAGAAGCCGCCAGCTTCTGTTCCGCAGGCGAAAACAAATGGTACTGCCGCCAAGTCAACCCCACAAGGATCTGGATGCTCCAGGGCCTCTGCCGGATGCGCTGCCACCAATTCAGGATCAACGGGATCCGGATCGGCTAGTAATCCCAAACCCAGTTCAAGCTCTTCCAGCCGCAGTTTTCCGCTGTTCTCCGCCGCCAGCAATCAGAGTGAGTTTAATATTTAGTTGCAAATGATAAGGCTAATTACATAGTCATCAAATTTTTTAAACAACTATAATTACTAAAAATTTAAATTACTAAAATTTAATTAAAATAAAATTTGTTTTGTGTAGAGATCATAATTATATTTACTAAAATCTAGCTTATAACCAGGGTAATAAATGGAGACCTTTTGATTCCAGGAGAGAAGGCTGACAATAAGAAGAACGAGTCCGTTGAGCGCAAGAAAAAGGAGGAAAAGCTCAAGCTGAAGGCTGAGAAGGAAGCCAGGAAGGTGGGTGAAATTGTAGGGAATTTGGTATAACCCGACCTCCTCTTTGTTTGGAAGATGCATTGTTTTCCCCGCGGAACCCCTAAACCAGGCTGTGCATACTTGTATTGTTTGTAATTGGCCTCGTTCCGTTTTTCCTCTTTTTTTGCCAACTGTTTTGGAAAAGTTTTTCATTAATCGCGGGCGAAGGGGATCCGGGAAGTGGGTGGATGGGAAATGTTCTGAAGCTATTGTGCCGGCAAAGCATAAATTTCCAAACTTATGAGCACGGGTGGCTCATAAAGCGCAAGCAATTCCGATTTTCTTGTTTATGATTTCCACTGCATGCAAACAAAGTTATTCATTTTGCATTTTGCATTTTCGCAGGAGGAGAAGCGACTGGCCAAGGAGGAGGAGCGTCTGGCCAAGCTGCATGCCAAGGAGGAGAAAAAAAGGGGCAAGAAGGAGGCCAAGGAGCTGCTGTTGGCCAACGATGGAAACAGCAAGAAGTGAACCCAATTAGCCAGCGAAAGCGCATATTTCCAGTTGCAATTCTAGCCCTAAGACCATCACCAAGTACCGGTTCCCGTACTATATCAAAACAGATCGGATCCGATCGCATCAGATCGCCACCTCACCACCCCCATATGAAATGAGCTTGATTGTATTTTTAGGATAATATTTTGTTAGTTAGCCATTAATCGTTTCCATAAGTTTCTTACTAAACTGACAAAATACAAAGCCAAATATTTAAAAAATAATTTTTTAGAAACAGGAAAAATCTTCTTGAGTATTGACACCTTAAAGAGATTACCAATACATTTTTTTGACATCAGAAATATTTTAATAATTTTTTGATTTAAGATCTGTAGTTGGTTCTACCAATAGGAAAACATTCTTTTTTTTAAATCACCTAGTTAGTTAGACTCCTTTGTGGGCTTTCTTGGCTTTTTAATACGCTTTTCCAAGCAGAAGAAAAACCATGCCAAACCTTTGTATAAATGATAAACCTTTGGCAAGCACTGATTTAACATTGCTTTCATTTCATTCTTAGTTTTAAGCAGAAACTTCCAATAAGTTTTCTTTAGATTTACTGCCCACTTTCATAACTCTTCACCGTCTAGAGATATGTTAAGGATATGAAGACATAGCTGCCTTTCGTTTGACATTGCCTCGCCTCAGTCTCAGTCTCAGCTCATCTGTATCATTACCAATTAAAAGGTTGTTGAAACAATTTAAATTTGAACAGAATCTGATAGAAATATCCGTAATAGACCTTCTTACTTTCAAGTTTCCGACTACTAGACTACCAAACAGAATACCCTTAACTAGAGAAAACCTCGTCTCGAGATATAGAACCATGACCACTATAAGGCAAGCCAATGTTAGAGCTGAGCTTTAGCAAACGTAAGCCAGAATCCGGATATATTAACGAATATATACTACCAGTATGTTAACATGTTGACTAAACAAATTGCAAAAAGCGAGAGAATATTAAAGTAGTTTTCATATACCCCTCTATATATATTATATATATATATGTATCTTTATCTGTAACTAAATCTATAGAATCCATACCTATATTGGAAACTGTTCAAACGGCAAACATAAGCAATGTTTCGATGTATGTATGTGTATATGTGTTACCAGGATTGTTTTAAAAACAGAAAATAATAACCCCGCAAAGGGGGAGAAAAGAAACCAATAAAGAATCCATTATGTTGAAGTCTCTTCCTGCTTTTTGATAATTTTCCCCTCCGCCAATCGCTCCTTGTCTTTCAGGCATCGGTTGAAGACCTTGGCGAAGATATAGGGCAAGTCTTCCTGGCACTTAAGGTTTCCCAATTTGTGGAGAGCTCCAAAGTCCAGGCAATCGATGTGATCATCTCCATTGCAATCCTGACCATGCTTAGACATATAACTCTGGACCGTGTTGGCTGCACAGTGGGGTTGGTTCACGCAGTTGGTGAAGGCTGAGTGGGGGAGATTCGGAAATTTTGGATGGTATACCAATCAGATAGCTTGAACCTACCGTCGTCGGAAAGTGCTGTATCTGTGGGCAGGGTTAGTTTGCCCGCCTCCACCCAGTAGCCCCAAGTTATCCGGAAAATACCACAGGCCCCATTTACACAAATTGCGGATGCATTGCAGCCACTCATTGTTTCGCACAGACAGTCCAGGCAATCTTCCGTGACGGGCTTGTTTTCCACTAAATACAGAGAACAAAAAACATAACAAATTCAAGAATTTGTAAATTGTTTATGTAATTCAAGAATAATTATTATAAAAGGTCAAAAACCAGTTTGTATGCTACATTTAACATCCAAAAAATCGATTAGTTTTGTTGAAAACTTTTTGTTTTTGTAACCAAAATGCATTCCGAAGCAAGAGTAACATCCAATAAATTGATTAGATTTGTTAAAAACTTTTTGTTTTTGTAACCAAAATGCATTCTGAAGAAAGAGTAAGGAACGGATTCTTCTTAAATCAACAAATATTCTTGACTTTCTTTTCAATTTGTGGGTATACACCTATTTTCAAAAAAAAATTTCTGTACTAAGGATAGAAAACAAAAATTCGTATTAAATTTAAAGTTGGATTTAAAGCCAGCAAGTTTATTTTAAGCTTAAAACCTTCTTTTAGTCTAAATCTGCCGCTAGCATGCTTTAAGCGAAGGTGATCGAACAATTTTGAATAATAGCCTTATACTTAATATTTACAATGTTGCTTAGAATAAAATAAATATATTTTACGACTATTTTCTTTAGTCAGTGTACGAGACAAGTGAAAATAGGCGGATGTAACGGCCGGCTTTCTAGTATAAAGCTGTTCCGATAAACTGGCTTTAGTTTACTGCGAAAACGCCAGTGGATTACCATAATTATAGAGCACTCTCTACTACGTACTAAGCCTCAATTAGCACAGTGGCTTGCAAACAAAAGCCGCTTAGGCTCTACACTTCTATAGATCGAAACAACATACCCTCAAAGCTGGACCCACTGTCCACTAGAAGCCACAAACAAGTCAAGCCGACGAGTAATCGAAGCATATCTGAGCTTTGAATCCGTTCGAGAATCGAGAACCCGACCTGCTGCCGCCGTGTTGACCACAGAACTGATTTTAGTTGCCTTACAGCCACTTGTTTATTAATCAAAATTAACGCCTATATTAGCAATGCAATCTTCGCACATAAATTACGCGGGCTCTTCCTTATAAGTTAGTAACTAGATACTAGAATGTAGAATGCAATCGAAGATTAGCTGGAGCTCTGTCGCTTCTGATCCCGAATAGCATTCCGCAAGCAGTTTTTGAAGATGCTCTCATAGGTATAGGGCATATCCGCCTTGCAGTTAAAAGGACCCATATAGTGAATGGCTCCATAATCGTAGCAGTCCTCTATCTCATCGTTGTTACAATCCTGGCCGTACTTCACCATATAACTCTGCAAGGTATCAGCTGCACAATAAGGATCATTGGCACAGTTGGTGAAAGCTGAAGATATTGTAATGTAAATATAAGATAATTTAGAATACAATCTCCATTCTTACAAGTATCCGTCAGCGGCGAGTCGCCTTGTATGGTCAATCTTCCTGAGTCCACCCACTGATCCCAGGTGATCCTGAAGATGCCACATGCCCCATTCACACACACAGCCGTGGCATTGCAACCGCTCAAGGCCTCACACATACAGAGCAGACATTGTTCCGTAATGGGTTTCGCGTTCTCGGCCTGCACATATAAACCTCCAATTGTAAGGCCCAATAGCAAAAATAATATATGCGTATTATGCATAGCTAAGCTGCGAGATTTCAATTCACTTCCGATTCGATGCGTTCCGCGATTGTTCAGCCACTGAAACGAATTCAGCGGTGACTACTGACTTTTATTAAACACTGCACCAGACTGGTTTTAAGTCTCGGTTGATACCCGGTGTTTATTTGTTTACCATAAAAAAGGTTACTTTATTGGCATAATGATTTTTTGGGTTGGAACGTGTAAGGTTGTGAAACATAACTTGAAATTAATGTGTATTTAATCACTCCAAGCCCTCATCCTCGAATTTCTCGATGCACTCCTCGAACACGCTCTGAAAAGTATAGGGCATGTCCGCTTGACAGCCATAAGCCCCCAATTTGTGGATTCGGGCATAGTCGTGGCAATCCATCTCGCCATCCTCATTGCAGTCCTGGTTGAACTTCTTCATGTAGTTCTGCACCAAGTCGGCGGCGCAGTGCGGATCATTGGCACAGTTGACGAAGGCCTTTTCCGAGTCGGGATGCTCTCCGTTGACAGTCAGCTTGCCTGCATCCACCCAGTAGCCCCAGGTGATGCGGAAAATGCCGCAGGTTCCCTTTTCCGGACTGGTGCAAATCGCCGTGGCATTGCAGCCGCTGATTGCCTCGCAAATGCACGTGAGGCACTTCTCCGTTACGGGTTTATCCAGCACATGACCTGCTCATTAAATTCTTTAATACATCTTCACATATCTTAAATATTTCTTAAGAAAACCAACCTTGACCTTGCACTAATGAAGGCGATAGAACCAGCAGTAAGAAAAGGAAATATCCCAAGAAAACTCTCATCCTCCGACTGTTTCAAGATCTTGCATCTAACACCTCTGCTCTTGAAACTGCAAATGGTACTGAATCCAATGAACTGAGTACTAGCCCGGTAAATCCGCCAATCTAGCGGGTAATACCGGTTTCTAGGGCGCATCTATAACTATACAAACCGTTAACGATAGCTACACGGCACATCTCACCCTTAGTTTTAAAAACAACCCATTAAGTATTAAAATTCTATGTCTAATGAACTTTAATACTTTAATTTTTACGATTTCACATAACTCTTCCTTTTAAGTAGGAAAAATATTTTAATGTTGATATAAATATTTATTCTTGGTTGGAAGGGATAAATTTAAAAACAATATATAAAGGTCCCAACAAAAAGTATGCAACATTCAGGTAAACACACATTTTAAAGTAGGTGGTAAAGGCGGATTGAATTTAATAAAAAAATTTTCTAATGTCGTTAAAATGTAATAAATAAAAAGATTTACCGAAGTATGCAACATATTTTTTTGTTGAAAAATAATTTGTAGACTTGGAAACCAACTTTTATATTTTATTTAAATTTGTATTATTTTTGTAGTAAGCATTAAAATACATTATTAAATCCTCTTTCAATTGTAAATAAACAAGCTTATCTTTCCCTTTTCGATGTCATTTATTATCAATCTCAATAGCGCAATCTTAATCGAATTCAAATGCATTGCCATAAATTATTAATTATTACATTATTTAAATTTAATTAGAACATAAGTTTAGCAAGATAATGGGTTTACTTGCTGATGCGAACGTCGATGTGCTGGAACGAATTGAGGCAGTTGGTCAGCTGCGTCTGGTATTGGTAGCTCAGCTCGCCCTTGCAACCGTAGCCGCCCAACTTGTGGATGGCCGCAAAGTCGTAGCAATCGATGGTCCCATCATCATTGCAGTCCTGCCCGAACTTGGTCATGTAGTTCTGGATGGTGTTAGCCGCACAGTAAGGATCGTTCACGCAGTTGGCATAGGCTAAAGGAAGATGACCATTCATAAGATATATGAAAGTACAAAAAAAGGGAAGGGTTTAGCACTCACCTTCCTCGGCCTGGGGACTCTCGTTTCCCAAGGTCAGCTTGCCGCCATCGGACCAGTAGGCCCAGGTGATGCGAAACAGTCCACAAACTCCACCGCCGCAGAAACGGGTCTGGTTGCATCCACTTGTGGCCTCGCAGATGCATCCCAGACACACATCAGTCACCGGCTTATCTGTTTCGGGTTAAAAGATCATTCGAATCAAATCAGTTCAGTTCAGTTTGCTGATTAGCCTCGCGATCGTTTGCCATGCCCGAGCAAAACTCGAATTGTGTCACACATATTTGCCCAGATCATGTCATCGCTTTATTCAGAGCATTCGGTAATGTTTTGAATATTGAGAGTTATAACAAGTTAAAGGCTTTGGAATTTCAGCAGTACACAAAGAAAAAAATCAAGACTTTTTAAATAAAATGTATGTAAAATTTATATGTAAAAAAATTTAGTATTAAGTAAACCGAAAAAATTGGGATTTAAATAAATGTTGGGATTTAAGAATATGGTATGTATATTAAATCTGAATTATAAATTTATTGGCGCCCATATTGTAGACATTAGAAACATTTTTTAAATTGCTTAAGAAGTTGTTTAATAATAAAAGAAAATAAAATTTATATATTTGACTAAATATACAAAACGGAACATATGCCTTGAAATTGGTCAATAGAGAAAGGGGTATCTGGTAGGCGAGTCACTTGGTTAAATAATAATTCGAATAATTCGAAACAAATACACAATCTTGGATTCACATTAATAAACTTTACAGTTTATAGTTATTACTAAAGGTATTTAAATAAACCCTTAATTGTTATAGGTGCTTTTAAAATTCATAATTATAATAAAATAGCTCCAAGGAACGGAAAGCAATTCCGCTGGTTGCACGCCCATGAACCTGAAATCTGTCAGCCTCACGTACCCATCTCATTTTTTACCGAACTAGTTTTGCAACTTTCAATGGCAACATTGAAGCATCGCCGTAGAACAAATCCGCCTACGGGCGGCGAGGATGAGTCAATAAATCGGCGTTATCAAGACCTTGTTCTTGTAATTAAATTTTGTATTTTTAACGAGTATTGGCAATTTGCAAAGCCGAGAAGATTGGCTAACAGTCTGGCACAGCATGTCTTCTAGCCTTCTGCCTCACCCACACCCATAAATCTCCGAGGTTTCTAAGTTCACTGACCTATGCAAAACAATCTGCGAGGGCACAAGAATTGGGTCAAGATTAAAAATGGTAAAATTATACCTTCCTTTCATATAAATTAATTTAACTAAAAATTTAAAAGCTTTTAAAGCATTTTCTTGTTTATATAAAAACCTTTTTTAATGGGGTTTTCCTTGCCCTGAGATAACCCACACGCAGGCCAACTTTTTGCTTATGATCAGACGTCATCGAAGCAAGTTGTCACGAAGGTGGGATTTTTATCGGTCTAAACAATGGATGCACTACAACATTCCATTCCGGATTCGGGGAAATTTCAAAAAAGCTACATCCTTTTAACGATTTCATTTGTGCTAATTACCCACTTAAACAATTAGTTTATTAAACAGAAATCCAATGAGCTCACTCATGATTACTACCAGTGATTAATAGATAATTTTAAAATATGCTACTATTAATTTCCGCTTAATGTAATGGGCATACACAAATCGGAAGTAATTTCAATGGCGATGAAACGTTATTGAAAGCCAACGCAGTCAACGGCCCGTGTTTTAAATGATAGATGCGCGATTATTTAATCTTAAACCGATCCGAAACCCCCAAGTTATAATGGACGTTTGTCAACTTCCAGATAATTGTCATATGCAAATGCGGACCAACACGATGGATGGATAAATGTAGCTGGGAAATCCGCTTAAGAGCGAAACATGTCTTGTCGCAGAACAAAAGAAACAAACATCCATACAATTGCTAATTAATGTTAATGAATGCAGACGATCAGGTATTTGTATTTCGTGCTAAAAGCAAACCTTAGCGAATGCGTAACAAATTCGACTCGGGAACAATAACAAGAACGGAAATGTTCTCGCCTGTATAATATACAATATATTTCGATTTATTTAACTCACCCTGAGCTTGAATGAGAGCCGCGAATCCCAAGCACAATAGAGCGCCAATAGCCAGAGTGCAGCACAATTTGTTGGCAGCCATTACGAGCAATACTTTTGTCCGAAAAATATTTGTTTTAAAATGCAATTTTAAAAACCGCTGAGCAGTATTTGTTTATACTTGTGTATAGAACCGATCTCTATCGAGCTGCCCGATCAACTGAGCTGAATGTGTTACGAGCCTCGCTTTTTTGTTGACAAAAGCTCACTTAAAGCTCAAAAACGAAAGACCTAAACAGAGAACTCGCGAGAAAAAAATTATAAATTGAAGAGATATTTGTTTATAAAAGTATACCTTAGGGGATATATTTTTAAAAAATTTCATTTCTATATACAATGTACAAATGGATTG